TCTTTCGTAAGGAAGTCGATCTATGCTTTTGTGCGTGTGTGAACGAATTCTATCATAAAAGTACCCCGTATTCAGTGTAATGAATTGTTAGTTGTATTTTTTTGTAAAGGCTTTTCGAAAGTCCTAATCAACACAACACAGAAATACTGTCAGCTGTAGCTTGTAACTGTCTGCTATGGCTGTCTGCTGTGACTGTCTACTGTGACTATCTGCAATGACTGTCTGCAGTGACTGTCTGCAGTGACTGTCTGCTGTAACCTGAGATTGTCTGTTGTAGCTTGTGACTGTCTGCTATGACTGTGTGTGGCTGCCTCAGAAGGGCTGTTGCTCTCAAACCCTCAGACGGGCTGTAGCCCAGGAGCTCTAACAAAGTACGTGATCTAAGTTTTAACTCTCAGTCAAGCTCAAGATTGACCTTATGTTTTGGGCCCCAGCCTACAATTAGATGCTGTGACATGTTAAGGCCAAAAACTAGTACGTTGCCTTAAAACCTTTAGATTGACTCTTTTCCCCGAGCCCTCTGAAAGGCTGTGGCCCTTTATCCATAAGAAGGGCTGGCTCCCTTTAGCCCTCAGATGAGCTGTGGCCCCTTAGCCCTCATAAGGGCTTTTGTCCTTTAGCCCTAGGAGGGGCTGGTTCCCCTTAACCCTCAGAAGGGCTGTTGCCCCTCGCCCTAGCCCTCAGAATGCCGGTTGCCCCCGAGCCCTCAGATGGGCTGTGGTCCTTTAGCCCTTTGAAAGGCTTTTTCCCCTTAGCCCTCTGAAGAGTTGTTGCCCCCTAGACCTGAGAAGGGCTGTTATAACCCACCCTAGCCTCAGACGGGTTGTTGCCCCTAGCCTCCAGAACGACTGTTGCCCCCGAACCTTCAGAAGGGCTGTTACAACTCACCCTAATCCCCAGAAGGGCTGTAGCCCCTCTCCCTCAGAAGGGCGTTTGCCCTGGAGTCCTCAATGGGGCTGTTGCCCTGGAGCCCTCACAAGGGTTGCTACAACTCACCCTAGTCCTCAGAGGGGCTGTTGCCCTGGAGCCCTCACAAGGGCTGTTACAACTCAACTCACTCCCAGATGGGCTGTTGCCCCTAGCCCTCAGAAGGGCCTTTGCCCTGGAGTCCTCTGAGGGGCTGTTGCCCTGGAGCCCTCACAAAGGCTGTTACAACTCAACTCATCCTAGCCCTCCTCGTAGGTGGTTGGCGGGTGCTCTGGTGTGGTTTGCTTCTTCTTTCCTATCAAACATCTATCGTCTTTATCTCCCCTCCTTCTTTTTTATGTTTGTTACT